GGTCCCCATAATGTGATAAATACCAGGTACACTCACACGCACACTCTCACACGCACACTCACACACACACTCACAGACACTCACACTCACGCACACACACACATACACACACACACACAAACACACACACACACACACACACTCACACACTCTCACACACACTCACTCACACTCACACACACACTCACGCACTCACACTCACGCACTCTCTCACACACACACTCACTCACACACACTCACGCACTCACACTCACTCACTCTCTCACACACACACACACACACTCTCTCACAGACACACACACTCACTCACACACTCACACATTCAGCAAGAAAAGGTGCCTGGACTTTATTAGTCAGTCACTGGTCATCATGTTTGTGATCATCTAAACACATTTAAGATGTTCCAGCTGTATTAATATGTCCCGTCACACATCACTAAATAAATATTCAACTCTCTCAGTTCCGTTGATTCAAACATAAAGATGCATCTGCTTCAGTTGTGAACCTCATTATCTGATCTGTTGTTCAGACTCGTGAACCAGAAACTGCATAACATAAGCTTCAAGTCTTCATGAAAATGTTCTTGCATGTTTTGTCAAATCTGAACTCTGAACTTGTACTTAAGTCCACTGCAACTCTTCAGTTTGATGGGAAACTCCACAAACATTGCTGCTGTTTCAAAACTAAGCTGAACATGTAACTACACGACATATAGTCCTATTCTAAGATGGGTTTTTCTTAAACTGACTACAGTACATTTGAAAAGAGTTTAAGGATCATTGGGTGTTATTTGTGTGCCAGTGGCAAAGAAGTGGAGCGTGTTGAACCCAGAAAAGCTACTGAAGCAGAAGCAGCTTGAGACAGACAGGCGAGAGAGGACGAATGCATCTGTCCGTGTGGAGTTATTGTGGCTCTGATGTTTTAGATTGAGGCGCTGCTGCAGTGTTTGATTTCTCAGGTCCATCTGATGATGTTTTACAGCAGCGTGATTGATTCGATTAAAGATGCTCCTGCTGAGATATTTTCAACAGACAGTGCTCCATTCTGTTGATGACTAGCAAAATTACACTCTTGATTAGGAATCATATAAAATATTGTAATTGCAGTAAAAGAGGATTTTTCACATTCAGGTGTTTCATATAAACGCACTGCTATATGCAATCGACTTGAGTCTCAACTTTGTCTCCAAACTAGAGATTTATGAACTAGAGATAAATATTTCCTCATATCATGACTAGATTAAAGCGAGTGTCTTTCACACTGTTGCCATGAGATGGTGTGGGTGTTTTATTGCAGAGGAAGAGAAATCAGGATGAATTATTGATCAAGTCAAGTCAAGTCAAGTCACCTTTATTTATATAGCGCTTTTAACAATACAGATTGTGTCAAAGCAACTGAACAGCATTAATTAGGAAAATAGTGTCAATAATGCAAAATGACAAAAGAATTAACTTGACGGAGCTCAAACTCAAAACACACGGCAGCCAAGGGAAGAGAAGGGAAGAAAGACAGAGGCTTATTGTATGGAGCCAAATCATCATTTGTGTGTGTGTGTGTGTGTGTGTGTGTGTGTGTGTGTCTATGCATTTATTAATGTGTTTGTGTATGTATGTATGTTTGTATGAATGTATGTATATATGTGTATATATGACCCTGGACCACAAAACCAGACATTTCAGATTATGAATAAACAAGCTTTCCATTGATGTATGGTTTGTTAGGATAGGACAATATTTGGCTGAGATACAACTATTTGAAAATCTGGAATCTGAGGGTGCAAAAAAATCTAAATATTGAGAAAATCATCTTTAAAGTTGTTCAAATGAAGTTCTTAGCAATGCATATTACTAATCAAAAATTATGTTTTTATATATTTACGGTAGGAAATTTACAATGTTCAGAATGGAAAACTAAAAGAACTACAGACTGAATATATACCCTACATACTGTATACTTACTAATAAAAAAAAATCGTATTTGAAACCAAAAACATTAATCAGTAATAAGTGTTTCAAACAGTACTGTTACTTTGTCACATGACCTCATTATTTTGCACATCAGTGTTTATCAGGGTTGATTTACACTCTTGCTGTGGGTTTTTGTGAAGTCCACTGGTCTCCCTGAAACATTATTTCATCGAAGGGGAAACCGTGGAAAAAACATGATTGAGCTAGCAGTGGTTATCGCTGTGAAAGTGCAATGTCGACTCAGTATTGCATCTGGTTATTGCACACAGACAATCTACTTCATAGTGTATGCTGTGACAGCAGTAACCGTACATTAGTGTCACATTACTGTACATTAGAACATTCACTTGTTCAGTGAGATTCTCTTGATTGACCAGACTTGTCTGATCAATAATCTGTGCATTAGTTTTGTTTTTTGCATCACTTAAATTTTGCTGTAGTGGGTATATGTTTACAGATCTGAACATACAGAAAGTGTGTAAACATATAGTGGCCCCAAAAGCATCAGGACACAATTGACACTGAGAACATGAGAATGTCATTGCAGAAGATAAAGCAAGCGTCATTTATTTAAAGAGAGCACAAGCACACATGAACTCATTTTGTTAGCAAAATTCAATTCGAATTACACAAAATGGCAAAAGGCGCCCAGAGAATATAAACACAGATAGTCTTGTTTCCTTTTCATCATCAGATAAATCTCGTGCTGTGCATTAAACCGAAAGCTGAAATGCTGAATCTGCAGCAAGACACGTCTGAACCCAGTGATCGCGTCACATCCGGCCGCTGAAATGCATTCGTCTAATGGATTTATGAAGGCAGTATATGTCCTTCACTGCTTGTGATTTCCGTGCCGTGACCGTTGAGCTGAAAGATGACGTTGCATCCGAGCGTGAAATGCATGTTTCTGGACAACTTTTTCAACTTTTGATCTTAATTTCTCGTGAGAAGTTAGTATTGTAGTTGCACGAGGAGTGATCGAGCTTTCTGACACAGCCAGTCTGTCGAGCCTCAGTATCACATCAGAACAGTTCATCCAGTGTTTGATTGCCAACACTCAGAGACATTTCTGACAGAAACAGATCTTGGTGTGTGCATGTCTCTGATAAAATATAAACTGTGTTTCAATCATGTGTGCGTATGGTCCTGTTTGATGAATGGGGAGTGATGCTGTGTGCTTTACTGTTTCAGTGCACAGAATGAGATCGTCTCAAACACTTCCAGGCATCCGTCACGCCTGTGCTTCAGCGCCGTAATGCACACGGACCGTCGGCTCGATCATCAGCAGACCCGGCAAAAACAGCCCTGAGCCAAACGTTCATCCTAAACCCAAACTCACTGTGACTGTAAATATTCTGACTGTAATTAAGAGAAGCTCCGCCTTGATGCAGTGATTGACAGGTGTGCAGTTCATACAGTCACGCTGGCTTCTCTAAGCCACTGAATTCTGTTCTGTTCATTCTTCCTGAAATATCATGAAAATATAACTTTGATTATTAGTGTAAAGGCTTTGGAACAATAGTGTTGCTGCCCTTACTGCATTTACAAATGAAATCGTAACGCGTTCAGTTCGATATATAATGCTAGCAGTACTGTAGTGTTGGAAATGGCAAAGGAAAATTACATAAATTAATTCTTCTCAATTTTGTACATATTTATTCCCATTATTTCTCATAGCTATAGGAAATGTAAATCCAAATACAGGAATACATTGACATTTTACATGTTTCTTTTCAGATTGAATTGAGTTAAACGCTTCCATCATTTTCAAGCGAAACATTTCACAAAAAGAAGCTTGTTAGTTTCAAAATGTATAAAACTATACAAATAGTGTTAAAAATGAAGATATTAGAGACTCGACCGTGAGTTTGTGGTGGATCTGTTTGGGCAGATTGAGTTTTAAAGGGATCATGAACTGCCTCTGTTTGTTAGTTTGTACTGTTCTCTGAGGTCCACTTATAATGTTATCAAGATTTTTACACGAGAAAAAACTAATAATTTAGAAGTGATAGGCTATTTGCTGTCCTGTTTTGACCCCTCATCAGAACGCTGTTTGAGTAGGTGTGGTGTGGAGGACTGTAGAGTAAACGCCCACTGCTGTGATTGGCTAATAGTTGTGTGTGATTGACAGTCTACATTCCTCACAGATGGACGCTGCTGTGATTTAGGTTAAAAACGTATAAATACTCAGTTGATGTAAAACGATCTGTAATAATAAACAAAGCAATAATGATCACGTAATGAAAACGGTTACTCACACTTGTGTTGCGACATTACTGTCGGATCCAATATAATCACAATATAGTCTTTTAGTTTCAAACTTTCTGAAAATCCCGTGTTGAATTGTGCCTTGTTTGTAAACGAATATTCAAATCTAGTTTGAATCGAAACGAAAAGGAAGTGAACAAAGGACAGAGTTCTAACTGATGCGGTCTGGATCTTCATTAAAAATAAAGTTCATTCACTCTTTCCTAACGTTGGGATCAGAAGGAAGACAAAGCAAACTGTTTTTCCCCAGCTTGGCACTGCACAGCGTCTTGTTGTCTTCAGAGCATCTTTATCTTTTGGTTTCCCTCTCTTGTAAACGCTACATATGCAAATCGGTGGGCGGGGCTAAACCGGCAGTTATGTAGAATCGGTGGGCGGGGTTAAACAGGCAGCGACGTAGAATAGGTGGGCGGGGTTAAACAGGTAGCGGCGTAGAATCGGTTAAACAGGCAGCAATGTAGAATCGGTGGGTGGGGTTAAACAAGCAGCGACGTAGAATCGGTGGGCGGGGTTAAAGAGGCAGTGATGTAGAATCGGTGGGCAGGGGTTAAACAAGCAGCGACGTAGAATCGGTGGGCGGGGTTAAAGAGGCAGTGATGTAGAATCGGTGGGCAGGGGTTAAACAAGCAGCGACGTAGAATCGGTGGGCGGGGTTAAAGAGGCAGTGATGTAGAATCGGTGGGCAGGGGTTAAACAAGCAGCGACGTAGAATCGGTGGGCGGGGTTAAAGAGGCAGCAATGTAGAATCGGTGGGCGGGGTTAAACAAGCAGCGACGTAGAATCGGTGGGCGGGGTTAAAGAGGCAGCAATGTAGAATCGGTGGGCGGGGTTAAACAAGCAGCGACGTAGAATCGGTGGGCGGGGTTAAAGAGGCAGTGATGTAGAATCGGTGGGCAGGGGTTAAACAAGCAGCGACGTAGAATCGGTGGGCGGGGTTAAAGAGGCAGTGATGTAGAATCGGTGGGCAGGGGTTAAACAAGCAGCGACGTAGAATCGGTGGGCGGGGTTAAAGAGGCAGTGATGTAGAATCGGTGGGCAGGGGTTAAACAAGCAGCGACGTAGAATCGGTGGGCGGGGTTAAAGAGGCAGTGATGTAGAATCGGTGGGCAGGGGTTAAACAAGCAGCGACGTAGAATCGGTGGGCGGGGTTAAAGAGGCAGTGATGTAGAATCGGTGGGCAGGGGTTAAACAAGCAGCGACGTAGAATCGGTGGGCGGGGTTAAAGAGGCAGTGATGTAGAATCGGTGGGCAGGGGTTAAACAAGCAGCGACGTAGAATCGGTGGGCGGGGTTAAAGAGGCAGTGATGTAGAATCGGTGGGCAGGGGTTAAACAAGCAGCGACGTAGAATCGGTGGGCGGGGTTAAAGAGGCAGTGATGTAGAATCGGTGGGCAGGGGTTAAAGTGACATAGAATTGGTGGGTGGGGGCTAAACAGGCAGCGACGTAGAATCGGTGGGCGGAGGCTAAACAGGTAGCGGCGTAGAATCAGTTAAACAGGCAGCGACGTAGAATCGGTGGGCGGGGTTAAAGAGGCAGCGATGAATCGGTGGGCGGGGGCTAAACGGGCAGCGACGTAGAATCGGTGGGCGGGGGCTAAACGGGCAGCGACGTAGAATCGGTGGGCGGGGTTAAACGGGCAGCGACGTAGAATCGGTGGGCGGGGGCTAAACGGGCAGCGACGTAGAATCGGTGGGCGGGGGCTAAACGGGCAGCGACGTAGAATCGGTGGGCGGGGGCTAAACGGGCAGCGACGTAGAATCGGTGGGCGGGGGCTAAACGGGCAGCGACGTAGAATCGGTGGGCGGGGGCTAAACGGGCAGCGACGTAGAATCGGTGGGCGGGGGCTAAACGGGCAGCGACGTAGAATCGGTGGGCGGGGGCTAAACGGGCAGCGACGTAGAAGCAGCCGCTGATGATCTTCTTTGGAGGCGAGGTTTATCCACACTATTACATCATAGTTTTTAATAGTTTTTAATAGTACAATGACCTCTTATATGTCAAAATATAAAGGGAATTTTAGTTTCTCAGTTCACGACCCCTTTAAAGATTTGTTTGGACGTTTTATTCTGTTTTGGTGGCACAGAAATGACACGCATTGTGTTCAATTCTTGAGCCCACAATCAATCCCACAACGTTAATCTGTGCTTTTGCTCTTTTACTGAATCAGCTCTGCTGAACAGACTTGTGCTTGTACTTCATTTGCTCAAGTAAAATGTGTCTGTTTTATTACTTTTTGTTTTAAAGACTATGCCAAATAAGTCAAATATACAAAAATGTAATCTAAAATCTTACCTTTTAAATCTATTGAGAACTCGCTCTGAATAAATATAAACAGCGGTTGTTCATTTCACGCGTATTAATATGAAATTATACAAATATAAAATTAGTTACTGGTCTCCCTCTTTAAAATTGCTGTATTTTCTTCACAAATGGACCAAAAAATAAACTGTCCATTACATATTCACAACAAAGAGCCGTTTTCATTCTTTCAGTTGATCTTGATTATAAAATCATGTTGTAAATAGCAGTGTGTTAGCGAAACGTGACGACTGATTGCTACAGAAGTGTGCGATGAAGAAGCAGGAGTGTGTTTGGTCCGGTTCTGCGTCTCTATGCGTAGAAGGTCTCCACTTTCACGGCGTGACAGAATATGGTCATGGAGAACACCAGTCCCAGGATCTGCAAACACACGTAATGCTGATCACCACTGAGCTCTTGTGTATGGACTGCTGTGATGTGAGCGTTCAGTACCTGTGTTAGAGCCGTACACAGAGCGAAGATCCACAGAGCCACCAGATTCTCCTGCAGCCAGCCCTTCACTCGCTCGTAACACGGCTGTCGACACAAACCACAGCAGTCAGTAAACAGAGAGAGAGATGGACAACACAACATTTACACAAGACTTTCTGTCTGTCCGTTTCACTCGGAAAATACATTACCACAGGAGACAGAAGAGCATTGCCAAACCGTTCTCTGTGCTCTTCAGAGGCCAAAGCTGATGAAGCTTCTTACCGCTGTCCACCAGGTGCCAGGATTCTCCAGACCGCAGTTATCACTGTACTCCAGACAGCAGGAGTCCGGCACACGCGTCGCGTTATAC